GGCTGGGAGGGGCTCAGGGACTCATCCATGAGATGCTGTTACCCCAAAGACCATAAGCCACCCTTACTCTCAGGACAAGGGAAGATTGCCACTCCCCAAGCCACAGTCATTGTATAGAGCAGCATGTAGAGGGTCCCAAGTACACAGTAACCTTTAGCTACTCACAAGACCACATTCCTTTCCTATATAGACTCACCCTTAGCTGTAGACTACCCCAGAGACAACATAAGTATTTCACTTTAGTATATACTAACCTTGTCTTTACTAAACCAGACAGAATTTATTTCTAGGCTCTTGTAATTACTGCCACCCTAGCCTGAAGCTGAAGTTCTCAAAAACTGATCTGAGGCTCAGAATTCTCAAGTCAATCTGGGACTAAAGTGATCAAGCTGGTCTGGGACTGAAAATTCCTGGAAACCCTCTCATCCAAAGACCCTCCCTGGTAATCAAGATCTAAGAAGAAGATGCACCCAAAAAATGGACTTCTTCATTCTAAAAATTATGACTGTTTATACCTAAACAAAACAGATGTCATGTTTTATGATTATTGTTCCTATACTTTGAATGCCTTACCTTTTGGAGTAAAATCCTTCACTTATTTCCCCTCACCCATCCTACTGCTGTAAAACTCCTTCTATAATAAATATGCATGACTTCTGGCCATCAGGGCTACAGTTTGGAGTTTACTCTGGCTGTAGCCGGCTAAGAACATGCTAAAGGGCATGAAGTCTTAGTCTGATTCTTGTTCACCCACGTCGCCTTCCTGTGCACCCACCCTGGCTGGGGTATGGCTCCCGGCAAGGAAGAAAGAAAGAAAGAGAGAAAGAAAAAGAAAGAAAAAATACCAGTAGAAGCTCTGTAGACATTTGTAATATCACTAGCCTACAATAAATGACTTAATATATGTAATAAAAAGGGAAGGAAAAGAAAATAGAACTTACCATATAAATTTTATTTAATAAATTCATACCTGGAATCAGGTATTTACTAAATCATAGGAAGAGATATAGTAATAAAGACACTGTTAGGTTCCTGTTGGAGAAAAGCAGCTGCCTCTTGGAATCTCTGCTTTGGAGAAGAATGATTTTTTTCTATCAAAATCTATCAGTGACAAGCTGTAAGTTACTCTACTACAGAAAAATACCATAATTGGAACTTGAAACAATTTCTTATTAAGTTTGCAATAAATTACCTGTCTTCTTCAACACTTTTTTACCTTCTAAAGCAGCCAAAATATGAATGAAGATATAATATTGGGTCGTCCAAAAAGTCATGATGCATTTTTGCATAGAGAAACAGAAAAATACTTCATGATTTTTCCAACAACCCAACAGAAATTACAATCCTTGATCCTTGACACATTCATGTTATCACTAACAAAAGTGACATCTCAAGATAATGCATTACTGGGACCAGCAGTTAGCGTAATGGCTATGTTGCTGGACTCCCATGTAGTCGACCGCGGTTTGAGTCTCGGACCCGATGGCTTAAAACTCACATTGGGCGCGTGTGCGTGCATGCCCAAGATCCCGAGAGGAGAATGGAGGAGAAGGTATTGCAGTGTGGCTATCTCCCCTGGGGGGTGATTTCTTGCTTTCTGTCTCTCTGCCTCTCTCTGTCTGTCTGGCGAGTGCATGTGCCCTATAGCAAAAACCTCTAAAAAAATGCATTATTGTTTTCTTTTAATATTTTTAATATTTATTTACTCATTATTTTTGAGATTTTTCCTATAGGGTATACATGCTTTCCAGAGAGAGAGAGACAGATAGAATCACCCCTCAATGGGGATGGCTATGACACACAGTCCCTTCCTTCTCCTCTATTATCCTCTCTGGATTTGGAGTGTGCGCACACATGCACTGGTGTGAGTTTCAAGTCACTAGGTCCAGGACTTGAACTGTGGTCAGCTATGTGGGAGTCCAGTGCCTTAATCAATACACCAATAGCTTGTTCCACTCATTAATTTATTATAAAAAAAATTTTTAACCAGTACACCATGTTGCTTTGTAATATGTATACTTTGTGAACGGCTAGGTTGATTTTGTTAACATATTCATCAACTCGCATACTGACCTTTTTTATAATAAGACCACTTAAAATCTATTCTTATCTATTTCCAAGAATATAGTACAAATACTTTGACTATACTCATGTTGCTCAATAAACATCTTGAGTTTATTCCTCCTAGCTAAATGAAATTTTGTCTCTATTGGCCAAGATTTCCCCCACTTCCTTCCATCCCAACCCACCATGCCACCTACTAGGTCACAATTGTTTTTTACATTCAATCGCTTTACATCTTTATAGAATAGAAAACAATTCTTCCCAGCACAAATACATTGTATAGGGACCAGCAGTTGGAGTAATGGCTATGTCGCTGGACTCCCATGTCGTCGATCGTGGTTTGTGTCCCAGACCTGGTGGCTTAAACTCATGCCAGGTACATGTGCATGCATGCCCAAGATCCTGAGAGGAGAATGGAGGAGAAAGGATTGCAACATGGCCACCACTGGGGGGTGATTTCTCGCTTTCTGTCTCTCTGTCTCTCTTTCTGGTGAGCACACGGGCCTTATAGTAAAAACCTCTCTAAAAAAAATAATACATCGTATAGTAGTCAAATCACCACGCACATTATCACTAAGAGATAGCTTTCCATTTCTATGACTTTCCAATGTTTTGCCTTTTATTGGATTTTTGCATAGAAAAATCCATCATGACTTTTTTTTTATTAATTCACTTTACACCATCACAACACACAAATGAATTTTCCATCAAAATACACTGTGCATTGGCTCAATCAAGCACATCCACATACATGTTCTCAGCAAATAATTTTCCAATTCTTACGTCCTGCATACCTTGCCCTTTGTCTTGCCATCCCTGATTCCCCATCCCCCACCCTCTGCTATGTCCCATCTTCCTCCCCCATTGTCCCTGGCATCCATGGTTGCCCTCCATACCTTCCTCCCCCCCCCATTCAATTGTTCTGCCAATGAACTTAATTAGTCTAAATAAATCCATTAGCTAGCACAGCTGACACAAACCTACACATGTATCCAAGTCTGACCCTAGGCATAAACCCCGGTGAGTAGAATGAACATACTATAAAGTAGTACCCAGCTGTGCCCATACAGCTCGCTGCAGTCATCAATGTGCATTTTTTTTT